TTCTAAGTTCAGTTGACCATATGACAGTCCTCCAAATTTTTCATAGTTCCTTGCTCACTCTGATTCTTGTTTCCTCTTCAAACAAATCTCTTCTTTCCATTCTCTGTATCCTTAAATCTTGCCCATCTTTCAATACTAACAACAAAATAAATTTTTCTATGCAGAACTTTCCCATACCCACATTCAAAATCAATTCATGTGTCTTCTTAGACAAGAAACCAAGTTATTTTTACACCTGCTATTAAAATATTCTGTCATATAATAGCTTTATTATTTCAGCCTTTCCTGCAGATCTGGAACTAGATCTGAAGAGTCAAAGAGTAAATAAACAGCAGGGTCATCTAATTCTTGCTATTCAAACTGTGGGCTTCACACTAAGACCATTGATATTACCTGGAGTTCTGCTGGAAATACAGTTTCTCAAACTCCATCCCAGACCCACTAAATCAGAAAATATATTTTAATAAGACAATTGGGTTATATGTTTTCTTTTTAATTTTTTTTTTAAATTTTGTTTTGAGGTATAGCCAATTAGCAATGTTCTGATAGTTTCAGATGAACAGCAAAGGGACTCAGCCATACATATATATGTATCCATTCTGCCCCCAAATCTCCTCCCATCCAGGTTGCTGCATGGGTTAAATGTTTTCACATTAACATTTGAGGACACTATTCTAGTCTACTTTAGTCAAATTGCAGGTCCAGAGAGACCCTTTGTCCATAGAGAATTCACAGACATCTTTGGGACCACCAGTATCTTTTACATAGCCTTTAATATACAGTTATTAAATGGAAAGATGTATTAGGTAGTTAGAATAGGAAAAATGGGTCCAAGATAGCAATCAGAGGATGTGGTGACTGAAAGGACCATGGGCAGGGCAAAAAAAAGAAAGGAGAAAGTCCATGAAAGGGAAAGCCAGAGTCAGAATCGTTGGCAAGAAAACATGCCCAACATGCCCCCTCTCCTGTTTTTCATGGGGAATAGCCAATTAGGCTCCGGGGACCACTTAAGGACGGGAACAAAAGACATAAAAAGGGAAGCCTAAAACATGGAGGGACCACTTCCATGGGGGTTGGTCGCTGTCACATCTCTGTGTCCTGTATGCTATATTCAGTTCAGTTCATTCGCTCAGTCACATCCGACTCTTTGAGACCCCATTAATCACAGCACGCCAGGCCTCCCTGTCCATCACCAACTCGTGGAGTCCACCCAAACCCACGTCCATCGAGTCGATGATGCCATCCAACAATCTCATCCTCTGTCTTCCCCTTCTCCTCCTGCCCCCAATCCCTCCCAACATCAGGGTCTTGCCAATGAGTCAACTCTTCGCATGAGGTGGCCAAAGTATTGGAGTTTCAACTTCAACGTCAGTCCTTCCAGTGAACAGTCAGGAATGATTTCCTTTAGGATGGACTATGTATGCTATATACTGCTTGCTTAATAATCCTGCCTGCTTGAGCTGTCCTCACCTATCATTTCAACTTTTTGCTATGACAAGAACAAAGGGGGAAAAAAATCTGACCTGACAGGCGATTTTAAAAAGCATCAATATCACTAACATTTTTCAGTTGTGGAAAATGCTTTAAAATTGGCTGTATTCTTTCTTTATATTTTTAAATTTATATCTAATTTGTTTATTTAAATTTATGCTATAGTACAGGATTCTTTCCTGGAAAAGTCCATGGACAGAGGAGCCTGGCAGGTTGCAGTCCATGGGGTTACGGGACTGAGCATGTGCGTACCAGGGTGGAGGGAGATGGGTTAGTAGCAATAAACTGGTAGAAATAAAAATAAATAAATAAATTTATGCTGTAGTAATTGGAGAAGACTCTTGAGAGTCCCTTGGATTGCAAGTAGATCCAACCAGTCCATCCTAAAGGAGATCAGTCCTAGGTGTTCATTGGAAGGACTGATGCTGAAGCTGAAACTCCAGTACTTTGGCCATCTCATGCGAAGAGTTGACTCATTGGCAAGACCCTGATGCTGGGAGGGATTGGGGGCAGGAGGAGAAGGGGGCGGCAGAGGATGAGATGCTGGATGGCATCACCGACTCGATGGGCATGAGTTTGAGTGAACTCCGGGAGTTGGTGATGGACAGGGAGGCCTGGTGTGCTGCGATTCATGGGGTCTCAAAGAGTCAGACATGACTGAGCAACTGAACTGAACTGAACTGAATGATTAGATAATCACAGTATTAGATTTTCCTTCCCCAAATTTTAATACATACATACTAGTTTATTTGAGAAGACTGGTTCAGTGTCATTTTAGAACATGGTGCTCTATTTGAATTTTTATTAAATTAATTAGAATAAATAATATTTAGTAAATTCTAATCAATTCTTACATTTATTCAGGAAACATTCTCTAGGTTTAAACTTTTTCAATATCTTATTTTTTAAACTAATACATTATAGAAAACATTAAATTGTACTGGTGAGGATTTTAATTAATACCACTAGATGGGCTATATAGCTTTGAGAACTTTTTTTACATTAAAAAAAAAAAATGATGAGACATGTTTTTTTCTTTAGTATTGTATAATAGTATAATGATAACTTAAGATATTTACTAACAAATTTGCAATAGCTTGAACATAGGCAACTGAAAAGGTAATTCCTTGGTAATAACTTTTAATTAACATGGTGACAGCTTTTTGTGCAGGGTAATTTTGTTTTTTGGCAACTTACTGGAAGTAGGAAATTGAAAATTAAATAGCGGCAGTAGAGCTTCAAGCACAGGATAGAAAATAACTTTAGTCTCATCTCTACTTTTTAAAAATAATTCTATTTAGTATCAAGAGAAGCTGAACTGCCACCAGTTTCACTTTAGCTTGTTAAAGATATCATGAAAATTCAACTATCAGCTTTACTTTAACACAGGAGGAGATCAATGTATAATAACATAATGAAATCAGAATCATTATTTTTTAAAGTTATTTTGGCTTTAGAGATTTTGAGAATATGCTTTCCAGCATGCAAACACAAGACAAAAACCACACTCCTCTTGTTTGAAGCATGATTTTCTAAGCATTCTATTGCATCAAAAAACTCTCTTCCAGAATCCTTCTAGAAATGGTCTGAATCACCTTTTGAAATAAAAACAAGGCAAGAGTTTAAAAAGAAAACCTGAACTAACACTTATATTTTTTGTAAAGCTTGTCTGAGTCATAGTATTTTGGGGGCAAGGAAGTAATTGTTTGGGGCTTAAAAGTCTCTAACTTTCTGCTATGAAGGTATTAAAAAAATGGTTATTCTAATGAATAAACATTAAACAAGTGTTTAGTATTGCATAAATAAATACAAGATTTAGTTGAAAATGTACATAAATCAGATTGCAATCATTTAACTGTGTGGAAGTATATCTATGCCAGTTTATAATAAAATATGAATTCCATTAATAAATTTACTTAAAAATTAGGCCACTACTTGTTATTTTCTCTGTTCACATATAGTATCCTAGCTATTACTGCTACATTACTCTTTCCAAATCATGGCTGAAGGCATGGCCACCAAATGATCTATAATACATACATATTAGTTATAAAGTACATGAACAAAATTAAAGTTTGATAACTAGGTATTCATATGAGCAGTCATAGTTACTATGATTTTCAAGAAGTTTCTTTAAAAACTTACATTAGTGGTTATGGTTAATTACAATGAGAAGATACAGACTTCGGTTTCCAAAGTGAAAGGTGAATGATGTAGATCCAAGAAAAACAAGGAACAAGCATCTTATCTCAGTAGAGATAAGTGTCTAATCTCAGTAGAGTCACATGGAAGAATTTACTTCTGCTAACAATGATGTATGACAAGTGTGGAGTACTGTCAACCAGAAAAGCTCACCTAAGCTCCAGGGTGTTCATTAGGATCAGTCATGTAGGCATGCAGCACAGCACAGTGTGACTGACATTAGCTTCTCATACTCCACCAGTCCAGAGTAAATTAGGTGTTCACTCTAAATCACATTAACTTTCAGATCAAATTGCTATCTCTTGGCCTAAAGCTTTAGGCATCTGAGACCAGTCAGATCAAGCACAATATTCAAGGGCTTAGACCTCATTTCCCAGAAGTCATCCAGTAGGCAGTCCTGAAGACAGGTCGTTCTACTCAGGTCTGCTGAGTTAATCCTTCACTACACAACACCCTTCATCAGTTATCAAATCACTGTGGTGGTTGTTTCAATCACTGTGTTCCCTTTCTGTCTCTTTTCCCTCTTATGACCCTCATGATTACATTGGGGATGCAGAGAAAATCAAGCATAATTTCTGTATTTTAAAATTCTTAATTAAGTCATTTTTACAAAGTCTCTTTTGCCACGTGTGTGTGTGTGTGTGTGTGTGTGTGTGTTAGTTCCTAAGTCTTGTCTGACTCATTGCGACCCCATCGAACCTGTAGACCACCAGGGTCCTCTGTCCATGGGATTCTCCAGGCAATAACACTAGATGGGTTTCCATTTCCTTCTCCAGAAGATTTCCCAACCCAGGGATGAAACTCAGGTCTCCTGCCTTTCAGGCAGATTCTTTACCATCTGAGCCACCAGGGAAGCCCTCTCTTTTGCCATGTAAGGTAACCTATTCACAAATTCTGGGTATAGAATGTGTACTTTTCTGGAAAGCCATTATTCTGCATACCACAATATGTAAATCTCCTTTCTTAAAAATCCTGTATTTCCTTGATTGAAATATTAATTCTTCTTATCTTGCCTTTTGAACCAATGTTTAATTTAAAACTGATAGTTTCTCCAATTTTATTTTTTTGCAAAAGTTGAGTCTAAATTTCTCTCTATCATTTCTCATTCTTAAGTTAACCAGTTCTCTTCTATATACTATTTTCTTATGCATTTATTCTAAACTCTTCATTGCATATATTTTATATATTTGTATTACATATAGGGTATATACATATATACATGCAGATAACATTCTTGATAATGATGAAGAAGGAATTCATAGCGCCTGGACTCCATCTCAGGCCTGTCCGTGCTGATCGTGCTAGGCCGCCTCTCCAGTGGACTCTGAACTCTGTGCTTAGCGCCTGTGGGAATGACAATGGAAGGATAAGACCCCTCTGGGCAGGGGAATCTTGAAGATCACATCCAGGTTACTCATTGCCTAAGAGAAAACAGACACTAATCACCCCTGCCTCCGGACAGTATCTATTGGAATGTAACCACAGGCTTATTGATTATTAACTGTTTGAACACAGAACACGTGAATGATGGGGTTATTGTGGTTGTATTTACCCTTCGTTTGTAAACCTCAAGGGATTTGGACTGGTGGATTTGCACACGTACACAAGGGGAATAAAAGATTTTCACAAATGCTGGTCGGGGTCCTTGGCTAAAAGAAGATTCTGCCTTGGGCCCGCCAGTGTAATAAACTGCACTCTAGTATCTGCATTGTCCTTCTGAGTGAGTTTGTTTCCCAGAAAGCATGGCTATAACAATGAGATTATTCATTTTGAAAAAAAGATTTTATACTTTCCTGGAGCTGGAGTTTTCATAACTCAAAATAAATTTGGAAAGTGGTGATAAATACTACACTATTACAAGTTCATGTTGAAACTGACAGGGCTCTGTGAGGTTATCAGGCACAGAGGTCTTTTTGTCCTCCATTTCTGCTAGGCAAGACTCTAGTTTTGATGACCTTCCCTGAATTCCAATGGGCAGATGTGAACAGTTGCTAATCAAGGACGGAGCAGCCAAGAAATCACCTGAGGCTGTATTAAAGGAATCAGAGAAACTCATCAAGACTAGACCACTAAAAATGCTGCATACACCCTAATCTTTCCAGCAAGCCCATACTTGAACTATTGCTATAAAACCCCTCATCAAATCCTCCCCAGTTGGGATACAAAGTTTTCCAGGGAAGGAGCTCACTGTGTTCCACTTTGCCTAGCAAAGCAATAAGTAAGCTATTCTTTTCTGAAAAAGTGTTAGTCGTTCAGTCATGTCAGACTCTTTGCCAACTCATGACCCCTGGCAGGCTACCCCAGGCTCCTGTGTCCATGGAATTCTTCAGGCAAGAATACTGGAGTGGGTTGCCATTCCCTCCAGGGATCTTCCTGACCCAGGGCTTCAGCCTGGGTCTCCTGCATTGCAGATGAATTTTTTATCATCTCAGCCACCAGGGAAGCCTTATACTTCACCCAAAACTCAGTCCCTCAGATTCGTTTTGGCACCAGTGCACAGAGGCTGAGATTTTGGCATCAATGTGATAGGAAGGAAGATGAGAGAAGAGTCCTCTTTAGGCTGGGTTGTCATGAAAGAATTCTATGAGATCTGAGTGATTCAAAGGGACTCCAAATTCACATGATTCCATAGAGACAACTCTTTTTTGGTACAGAGGGATGCAGGCAAATCAACTGTTTTTACAAAGAGAAACTTTAGAGGTTTCATATCTGGCATAAAAACAAAAGAACTATCCCTAGCTGAGGTTAGGGGAAAAGCACCTAAACTTTCAACAGATTTTGATGCTACATGTGGATGATATGATGCTTTGATAACCCAGGGTCCTTAGTTACAGAGTAAATCTGTACTGATCTGCCATTTCTTTCCTATGTGTCTTGTCTAAGAATATAATATCAGTGTGCTGAAAGTTTGGGACAGATATGGAGAACTAAGGGGAGAGAGATATCATAGAGGCAAACACATTCAGTGAATGTGCAAAAGCTCTTCCATCAAGGCTGATGAAGAATCAGTGGTGAAAGAGAGAAACACTGCTGGTGGCAAGAGATATCACTGAGAATAGAAAACTGAGGGTAAGCCCTGAGAGAAATAACTCAGCAGCATCTTGTTACTGGGCATCACTATGCTTAGTCTAATGAAGAAGCTGTGTTATTTTGACTTTAAAAGAGTTGAAATCAGTGGTAAGCTGAACCTAACTAAAACTGAAACAGAGATCAAAACCAGCTTAACTTGAGAGTAGATTGACTCAGTACACTTTCACGCTAATGGCTATATAAGGCCATACATGTGTTTGGGTTAAATATTGTTAATTTCAATTTCTATTATATGTTCTTTTGTACAAATGATCTGCCATATAATAAAAATATAATTAGAAAGAAGTAGAAATCTATGAACCATAATTAAGATAAAAGCAGCTAATAGAGGAATATATATTTATGATCATATGTTGAAATGAACAAATAAGCTAACTTATATAAGCTAACAAGTAAGCTAACAAAATAATTTACTGGGACAGAGGAAACTGATTTATCAATAGATAGAGAATTTTAGCAGAAATCTAGAAACTCCAATCAAGAGTCACATAGAAATCAAATATAAACTATAAGGTATATTGTTGGAAATGAAGACGTCATTTCCAGGCTATACCTGGAGAAAGAATAAGTGACCACAAAAACAGAATAATAGGTATCATCCAAAAACACAACAAGAAAAAAAAATTTTAATTAAAATTGACCAAGATATGTGAGATAATATCAAATACCTTAGCATACTTACTGTTTTCAAGAAGGATAGTTAAATGGGGCAGAAGAAATACTTGAGGAAATAATGACAGAGACTGTTTTAAACTGATGGACATCTATTCGCAGTTCCAAGGAGTTCAACACACCTTAAGCAAGATAAAAACAAGAAAATCAGACCTAGGCATATCAAAGAAAAGCTTTGAAAACCAAAGACAAAAGGAGAATCTTGATAGCAGATGCGAGGAGGGCATATCAAATTCAGAGAACAACAATAAAAAGAAAATAATTGCTGATATCTGATCTGAAATAGTAGAAGCTAGTGTCAGTGGAACCACACTTTCAAAAGGATAAAGGACTAACAAATGTAGAATTGTGTAACATGGGAGAATATCCCTCAAAAATAAAGATGAATTAAATATGCTATCCATGTAAGCAAGAATTGAGAGGATTTATCTTCAGCAGATCCATATTCAAGAAATGCAATGTGCACTCCCATTAATATAAAATTTATATATTGGTCAAAAAAGTCATAACTAAAGATACATGGGGAAATGATATAACTATAATATGTGCAGAAAATGATTATATAAAAACCAGGAAAATGTGAGGGAATTATGACATGGAAAGGAACTTGGGATCCTGGAGTTCTGTCAATGCCATTTCTAGACTGCAAATTGTGACATGTATGTCTACTTTATAATAATTATTAATATGTACCTTATATTTCTGTATATTTCTTTACTATGGAGGCAAACACAGTCTTCACTGAGTGTACATAGCTCTTTAACCAAGCCTGAGCAAGGAAATATAGTGATGAGAAACATCCTTAGGCCCTGAAAGCTGAGAGTACATCTGGAGAGAAAATCTTCACTAGTGTACATATTATAATTCATAATAAAATAAACATTTTATTTTTTAAGTTCCATAAAGGTCCATTATTTACAAAAACACTATATCAAAGATAATTTATCAATTGATCTATTTAGGTTATATATCTTATTTCAAAGAAATTGAAGTAGTGCAATAAAAGTCAGGGAAATAATATTTGTGTGTGTGGGCTTTTGTTTTATATCATTTTTTTTTCATTTTAGTTTTTTTTACTGTTTAAGATGTAAGGGGAAAATGTCACTGACATGGTAGCTTTAAAGGAGATGTCACTGCCTTCTCAAAAAATTTTAAAACCAGCTATTACTACTAAAAATAGTGTACTGCTTCAACCTGTTTAGTTTGCCTAAGAATTTCATACACATACCACAAAACTCTTCAGGAATTTGTGAAAAAAACAAACTGCTGAAAGGAGCAGGCAGGATGAACAAGACAAGCTGGCAAGATTATCAATATCCTCCAAGCTAGAAGATAGACTCTGGAGGCAAAAGGTGAACCATGAAGCATATAGTCACATGTCATTTGGAATCAATTTCGTCTGTGTGGATCCCAGGGAATTTGGCAGGAGCAACACCAGGGGATTACACCATTCATGTCCGATGCCAGGAGCTACAGCAAAGACCTGACATGATGTTAGAGTTATACCCTTAATGTGGCAAGTAGCATCAGCCAAAATGAGGTTGTACACTGCCAGAAAGAGGGATATGTTGAGGATTTTTCCTGCAAAGTCAGTTTTAACAAAGAGAGAGAAAAAAAGACTGTTTCAGAGAAAAGATTAATTGTTTATACCACTCACTGCCTACCCAATTTCCTCAAAATTCACACTGTTTGACTAAAGACTGTGAAATAACATTACCAATAAAATCACTTTTTGATCATTTCTGTTCCAAACCCAAGGTGCTGCAAAAAATGAAATTTTGTAACATTTGATATCTGTTGTGATAAAAATTCCATTTTTCTTTTAAAGAATGGGCCATTTTTACACATTTTTCTTTCTAGATTAAGCTTGTGTGTGAGTGCTGTCACTTCAGCCATGTCCGACTCTTTGCTACACTACATACTGTAGCACACCAGGCCCCTCTGTCCATGGGATTTTTCAGGCAAGAATACTGGGGTGGGTTGCCTTTTTCCTCCTCCTTGGAATCTTCCTGACGCAGGGATTGAAGCCATGTCTCCTGCTTGGCAGGCAGATTCTTTATGCTGAGACAGCAGGGAAGCCTAGATTCAGTTTAGAATAAACATTTAAAAACCCTCTAGGATTTTAATTGGGGCAGAATGATATATAGTTCAATTGGGGGTAGAGCTATCATTTTAAAAACATTGAGTTTTCCTATACAGAAACATAGTATGCCTCACCATATTTTTGAAAACAAGTATCTGAGAAATCAGATTTTCAAAATATGAAAAAAATCATGTACTAATATACCTCCTTTAACATCTCCACCGAAATGCCAAAAAGACATTTCTAATGTAAATCTTCAAATTGGATTTGATTGAGGAGAAGCACTGTCCTCAAGGTTCTTTCGGTACCAACACTTCTCATCAGTATATGGCACTTCCATTGTTTCAGTAGTTTACTCTAATGCCTTTATGTCACCCTTGATTTTTCCCTTTTCACAGCGCTGCTAGCATCTAATGACCAGTGCCTTTAAACAGGCTTGACATATATCAAGTACTCAATAAATATTTGTTAAAGGAATAAATCCAGAGTTCCTATAGCTTTTCCCTCAAGATTTATCCTAAATTCATCCACTTTCTTTTAGGTTTATTGTCTCTCTAAAGTCTATTTGTATTCAGAGTAAAGATTATGCCACAGAATTGCTTAAACCACCACATAATATATTGTATTTCATTTATTAGCTTTATATTTTGTTTTATCTGTGTGGGGTGTGTGTGTGTGAGTGTGTACTCAGTTGTGTCTGACTCTTTGCAACCCTGTGGACCCTAGCCCACCAAGCTCCTCTGTCCATGGGATGTTCCAGGTTAGGATACTAGAGTGAGGGTTGCCATTTCCTGACCCAGGGATCAAACCCACGTCTCTTGCACCTCCTGCTTTGGTAGATGGATTTTTTACTACTGTGCCATGGGAAACCCTTGTATTTTGTTAGCTTCTTTTAATATACATACTGCAATCATGTAAGTCAAAATTAAATGTTAAAAATGCTAAATAATCAATATTGATTCTTACCACATTTCTCCCCAGTTGCCTGTCCCCATGCCCTCCTGGATTATCAATCTGTCCAAGGTTTCTTTATGTATTTTCAAGTAAACAATGGTAGAAATTCTGATACCTTTCCTTTGGTATGCTCTGCTCAGTAGCTCAGTTGTATCCAACTCTTTGCCACCCTATAGACTGTAGCATGACAAGCTCCTCTGTCTATGAGATTCTCCAGGCAAGAGTACTGGAGTGGGTTGCCATGCTCTCCTCCAGATTTCTTCCCTATTTTCTGACAAATAATTTTATATGCAGTTCACTGCCTTACCTTTCCTTTCCCTTCCAAAATATGTCAAAAGCACTTCTACTTCAGGACATAGAGACATTAATCCACCCTTTTCTATAATATTTTCTATTGTTTGGATGTATAAAAATTTAAATAATTAATTTAATTAAATTTAATTAATTCATTCATTTAATTGTTTAAAACTGGTGTTACAAACAAGGTGGTAATGAATAGCATTCATACAAGTATATCTGTATGAAAAATTCTTTGAAGGAAATTTTTTTGGTTAAAGGTTATATTCTTTTGCAAACTTAAGAGATTACATATATGGTGGCCCTTGAACTCAGGTGGGATTAGAGGCACCCACCTCCCATGCAGTTGAAAATCTGCATACAATTTGGAGTCAACCATCCAAAGTACATCATGGGTTCCTGTGTCTCTGGAGTTCCAATCCATGGATTCAACCAACCACGGACTAAGTGGTACAGCAGTATCTCTACTTAAAAAAAAAGAAAGAAATCCACATATAAGTTGATCACATGGTTCAAATCCAAATTATTAAAAGGTTGACTGTATATGATATTGCTCTCCATAGGTGGTGTATTAATCTGTATTCCTATAAAGCACAATATAGAATGTGCTTTCCCCCAAATCTCTCAAAAATTGATCTCCATTGACAAATTTTCTGCAAGTTGATTTTGGCTGTGTTTGTGTCAGAGTTCTCATTTCTATTCTCCAAGTAATTTCTGTATTTTCTTTGATGGATTCTCCCTGGTATCACTTTGAATTTCATCTTCCTTTATCTTATAATTTTATATTTTTCTTCAATTTTTATGTAGATCCTACAAACTCATGTTTCATATGTTCTTATTATATCTCCTCTAACTTTTTATACTTCAACTCTGTAACTGCCCTTCATAAGACTGGTTGCAAACTTCAGTGTATGTGTGTGTGTGTCTGTTCATTAATTTATGACAGAATATTTACTTACCACTAGCTCTGAAAAGTCTTTTCTATCTATATAATTATTTAGCATTATGAAAATCTTGCTTCTCTTCTCCAATGTATTCTAATAGCAATATTATAACAATGTACCAACATTTCTTATGCTATTACTCATTATTGAACATAGTCATTTTTATTAGCCTATTTGTTTGCAGAAATTGCTTGTTTGCGATAAATAGGCCAAAGCTCTTAATTATTCTTCTCACCTAGAGATAGATAGGTTCTTACAAATAAGCCTTCTTTATGTGCTCTTTTTTTTTTCTTTCTTTATTTTTATTAGTTGGAGGCTAATTACTTTACAAAATTGTAGTGGTTTTTGCCATACATTGACATGAATCAGCCATGGATTTACATGTGTTCCCCATCCTGAATCCCCCCTCCCACCTCCCTCCCCATCCTATCCCTCTGTGTCATCCCAGTGCACCAGCCCTGAGCACGTGTCTCATGCATCCAACCTGGACTGGCAATCTGTTTCATACTTGATAATATACATGTTTCAATGCTATTCTCTAAGATCATCCTACCCTTACCTTCTCCCATAGAGTCTTTATGTGCTCTTTGTAAATCCATCTCCAGTGTTTCTTTGTACAAAGTTGAATCTAGAGGACTTTTGCTGCCAACCCTAAACTTCTTGGCTTTATCAAAAGCAACTGCAAAATAAAATAACTTTAACTCCTGGTAAACACATTAAATTTAGGACATGCACTTTTCTGATGCTAAAAGTCCTTTTCTGCTGAGGTCCTTTGATATTTCCCACTCTCTTGCTTTCTCTCTGTCTTTCTGGGAACATGTTAAACCTGGTCCTAATGTATTAAAATTACTTACCTGGTTATTAAAAAAGGTAAACTGTTTGCCCCTTAGGATAATTCCATTATCTGTGGGAAGTATATTTTTGTGGTGCATCCTGGAATCTGCCACTTCTGGGCCAATAAAATAAACTTCACACTTATTTTTGCATGACATCTGCACAGACCAAATAGATTTTAATAACCTTTGCACTCTTGAACCTGTAAATCACATCTGACTCCAAGTTTCTGTAAAACATAGAGAATGTAATATTTTAATTAGAAAAATTTACATAATTTCTAGAAGAGGAGAAAGATAATAATCTACAGAACGGCTATGTCATACCTAAAGTCCCTAGTATACATTATGCATTCAACTATTCCTGTAAACATTTCTGTCATTCACTTCTGAGTCACCCATAAATGTTAATAGCCATAATAGGCATTCAATGCAAATTTGTATGTTTAATTGGATTCTTTTCTGTGCTTTACTGTTTAGAATAATATCTGATCTTGTCTTTCAGGAAATAGATTATATATTTATGTAAACTCTTTTCATTTGGTGATTTTATTAGAAATGGCTTAGAAATTTTATCAAATGCATTTCAGTATCTCTTCATGTTAGCATATCCTAGCTCATTTACTTTCTTGCATTCTTGGAATAAACCCTAATTTGTCATCATATATTTTGATACATTATAATATTATAGCAGTGGTGAAGATTCTGAGAAAATGGTATTGCGTGTACATCTTGCATCTCCATTGTCTTAGTCTGAGAAATTTGAGAAATGGTTGCCAAGACAGGCTTAAACGTGCATAAGACTTATTGAATGAAATGCTTTGTGAAGAATAAAGGTGGTAGGTGCAAACAGTAGGCAGGAGACCCTTCATACCACAAGGCAGGTCTGATACTTGAGATCACATAGGAAGAACCGCTGTGTATACGTAATTTGCTCATTAGAGAAGACCTGTTACTGAAGCAGTGAGCCCACACTAGTTCCCCCAGCCATGCCAATTCATTTGGTAGGAGCAGACTGGAGATTGGGGTTGAAAAGAAAACTGTGGCCTGCAGTAAAGTAGTGGGAGATTCAGTAGGTTGATATCTGGAGCTGTCAGTCTCCTATGCTCTCTGAGGCAGGACATATAAGCAGAGTATTTCATGAGTGATACACTCTTCCTTCAGCAAATCGTCTACCTACCTTTGTGGCTTTGGTCTTACAGAGCAGTTGGGTTGAAATAAAACTCTTAATGAACTTTAGTGGGGAGGGCTATTAGAGCTTTTCTTCCCTGAGCGATATGCAAGAGCTGGGAGACCAGCCCCAGAAAGCATCAGAGTCTTGGAATGCTGATTCCAGGAGGAGTTTGAGAAACAGAAATCTAAATGCTTCCATTTGTAAAATTGATATCAGACCTCTGGGAGAGTTCTTGCCTTTCTTTTGCTTCTAACTTCTGAGACAGAGCTAAGGGATTGATACAAGTTTACAAAAGTCTGGAGAAAGGAGAGAGTAAGGAGCCAGGAAACAGGAAGCTTTCACTGTGGTCCATTAGCAAGGTAACATTTCGCTTCGGTGCTGCTTTATCATTGATCAGCCATAGTTAAAATTTTGCCCTCTGTTAATTACCAGACATGTAGCAGATAATGTAGACCAACTGCCAATACTAACTGTCAATGAAATATAAACAAAAATAACAATGAAGACACATATAAAGAGGCTCCTCCATAGGTAGAAAGACATATGGCAAATACATCAATGAGTAAGTTAGAATTTAGAATTGCTGCAAGAAATAAATGACACATTTGCCAAAATCTTTAAGGGCTTCCCTGTGGCTCAGATGGTAAAGAATCTGCCTGCAATGCAGGAGACCCAGGTTCGATTCCTGTGTCAGGAAGATCCTCTGGTGAAGGAAATGGCTACCTATTCCAGTTTTCTTGCCTAGAGAATTCCATGGACAGAGGAGTCTGGCGGGCTACAGCCCATAGGGTGCCAAAGAGTCGGACTTGACTGAGTGACCAACACTTTTGCTTTAAATTCACTTAAGATGATTTGATCATAGTGCAGATGCACATAATTCTGGAAACAAATTTTTTTTCTTACTTTAACTATTAATTTTGCTTTATGTACATATATTTGAGTAATTCTTAATCTTTCTTTCATGACACATTGTAGTCATTGATCCGTGCCTGGTCTTTTTTTATGTATTAGCTGTTTTAGTCAGGTTTTTTTTTTTTTTAAACTCATTTATCTAAATGCAAAAAGCACCCACAAACCTACCACACAAATAAATCTGAGACCTTGATAATAACTTATGTAAATATATTGCTGCTCTCATTCCATCCACCTGACTTCCTCTCAGTGAAGTTAACATTTTTCTGAATGAGATATTCATCATTCACTTTTCTTCTTTCTACTTTTTAAAATAAAGCTTTACTGTTTTAATGGATTTCTCTGCTTTCTTTTTATTTTGTTGGGGGAATGTGTAATTTCCTTGGCTCTGGCTCGCTGCAGCAAAAATTTGAAGTGAGGGATAGACTAGTGTTACAGGTCCATGTTACACCTCAGTTTTATTTGGCAAGCAAAGGAAAATACAACCTCGAGGCGTGAGGGCGGGCAGACCCAAAAGACCAAAGAGAAGCCCCTGGCTCAATTTTGGCTCCTCTTTTTATGTTTTTTTCTCCTCCCCCTGAGTCTGCCCTATGTAAACTGGGCTAGCCAGGAGGGCTGTTTGTTTTACCTGAGGTTCTTACCCCAGTTCTCAGACCTTTCTTTGTTCTATTTTCATGGGCTTTTCCCTTCTTTGTCTTTCAGCCACCGCCATTTTGGACTCCTTTTTCCTATTCTAACTACCTAACAATTTTAACTAAAAATGTTTACATGCACATAACTGTTAGTAAATATGGTCTTAAGTAAACATAGCAAATGTTGGATGTAACATTTGTCTATTGTAAATTCACAATGTGCTTCCTTGTATTAATATGATGAAAACTGCAGTTTGCAACAAGTCCTTTCTAATTTTGTTAAACACAATGCAACAACCTTATTACTCTAAGTGAAGCTGAATTTGGCCTCTGTACCCCAATACTGAATCAAATTTTGGAGACAGTTTTGGATGAAGTAGAAAAGAATAACTTTATTGCCTTGCCAAGGGCTTCCCAGGTGATGTTAGTGGTAAAGAACATACCTGCCAATGCAGGAGACATAAGATGTGCAGGTTCAATCCTTGGGTCGGGAAGGTCCCCTGGAAAAGGAAATGGCAACCCACTTCAGTACTCTTGCCTGAAGAATCCCATGAACGGAGGAGCTTGGTGGACTACAGTCCACAGGGTGGCAAAGAGTTGGACATGACTGAAGCGACTTAGCATGCACATCAGGCAAAGGGGGCCACAGCAGACTAACGTCCTCAATGCTATGTGTTCCGACCTGGAGGCGGTTGTTAGGAGTAAAGTAGAGTACAGCAAAGTCACGGTTCAAAGAGGGCATGATCAGCTCATGGATATTCCTCTGGTTGGTTGGTTGTGAGGTAAGTCGGAGTCAGTATCATCAGTTTATGATATCATCATCAGAACCCTTAGTCTTCTGGTTCTATCTGTCTGGGGTCTTATGGACAGCATACCATTAATTTCTTTCACCACGTGGGAGTTTCATTAAATGCAAAATAGCTCAAAGTTATTGCTATGTATATCCCTTGAAGGGAAATTATGACTCTACCCCAAGTCTGCTCTATTATTTC